CTAGTGACATGATCTCAAAAACGTTTAACCTGAAAGAAATCTGTGCAGAAAAGTAATTTATAAAAGATTCATAATAGTCGTTAATCTAGGCAAACATAAACTACGTTTATTCAGCAAAGAATCTTACAGCGAAGAGCAAATGATATATGCCGTTTTAAAAGTACTACTCAACTTTAACAGCTGAAAATGTTTCACAAACAATTAAAATTTCTGTGATGTTCTCATTAGTGCAGCTTCTATACAGAATAATATTTTGTTAAGAAACTGTGGAAGCGATTAGGTATTAAAGAAGCTGAGCTTAACTTGCACTGCAAATGTTTACTTCAGTTCTTCTACTTTAATTAAATAAGATGTTAAAAAGTGTTTGTTCATTTTTTCAATTTTTTTTTATGTTCTAAAAATTTGTTGTTTGAGAAACTTTAGCAATTTTTTTAACGATACAAACGAATTTTGAAATTGGTGTTTAAGGGTTTTTAAAGTACATATTAATGCGACTAGAAGCTGAACAGTAATCAGGGCTTTTCAAAGTGCATTCGACTATTCATCTGATACTGCTTTTGATGTATATTTTTTTTTGCTGCTAGAGATAAGAATAAGAAACTACACCTTTTATAAAACTATTTTGCTTTCTAAAGATATGTTTTCATGTTTTTATTAGCCGTCGCTAATAAAAATCTTCCAAAGGCTACTCTCTTTCGACGTGATAACTGATTACAATTTATATGTAGGTGTTTCTTCAAACATTTACAAATAAATACTCTTTTTTTAAATTTTTAAATGCATTATCGTCGCGGATATGACATTTATTTCTAATTAAAATATACAATTGTTTTGTTAATGGTAAATGTGCTTTTAGTTATATCAGTGAACAAACCTATTTTTTTTTGTCACCGTCAAGTTTTATCGACACAAATGAAAATCACGAGCCTTAACTGCATAGAATTTCTCAAAACGAAACTCGTATTCAATAAATTAATTTAATTTAGCGTGCGATAATGACAGATAGTCTGCTCTAAACATGTAAGAAGGTTTTATTGTGAATTTAATACGTTATCGTTACAGACATAGAATCTGTTTAGTGGAAACGCGATATTGTATTAATGACGATAAATGTGCATCTAGTTATAGGAACGCCTAACACTCTAAAATTTCAGCGACATACTGTGCTGGTACAGTGCAATGGGTTCTCTTTTTTCAAATAAAACAAAGACTAGAAAATGGTGATAATTAACTTGATAAATCAAAAAAATAATGGCTACGTTCAAATAGAAATGGAGGAAAGAAGGTTCTTTTTTTCAAGTTTTTTTTAATATGGCGAATCCAACAAAACATCAGTTTCAGATTTTGTAAACTAGCAGAAAAAAATTTTCTTTTCTCAGTTTTTAAACTGAAATCAAAAGTTTTTCAACTAGAAATTTGGCGCAATGAACGTTTTTGTGCTATCATGCTTATTTTACAACAATGAGTACAAATAAAAAAGATAGAGATTTTGAAAGCTGAGAGCTAGAATTTTGTTTGAAGATGCTTCGTGGGTAAAGTTTTCTATAAAACGTTTAAAAAAAAGTGCAGAATACACTAAGCGATGATAAAGCATTAATAAAAAAGAAATTGATTTGCTGCATAATTATTTGTTATAAACAATAAAAACTGTATATGATAAGTAATAAAGGAACAGTGGCCAAGGAGGATCAAACGAAGAACAGCAACCTTCAAGGAACAACACGAATGAGTAAAGTTTGAGCCTTCTTCGTTCCTTGCTTAACCATGGTTTTTTGACTTTTGTCATCTCATTATCTCTATTATCGTAAATTGATCAATAGAAAATAAGATAACAATTTTTTAATTTACATTTGCAGTGGAAACCAGGAATGGAAGAGAGGTTACGTTCAGTTACAGGAAAATAACGAAGAGCTCAAAATTCCTTGTCAGGTCAAGTTAATTTTTTATTATGATAAATTTATCTGTTAAATTAAAAAACCAACTGAATCTTTGTCTTTACAATGCAGTAGGTCACCTTAGCCACTGTCACTAATATCTCAAAATTTTTGAAAGTCTATTTTTTGACGTCTGCAAATAACTGCAAAAAATATCATAGTCTAAATTGTACTTCAAAGTTTCTACGTACTACCCAGTTTATACATCATACCTTTTAAGAATGTTGATTTTTTTTCTAGCATAGTATAAATAGACATAAAAAAATCAGTAGTATTTACAATAAGGCGTCAATAAAGATGCTCTAATTGCATCTTGTAAATTTCAGTCTATCTCGTGGAATAAAGACAACATTTTTGATTTGCTGAAAAAAAAGATAGACTCTCTGAAAAACCGAGTTGTAATTTCTATAATCGACTCTGGAGAAACACTTAGAATGAATGATAGCGAAAGAAAGGCAGTAATGGAAAGCATCGCTTTGGTACCTTTTGAAGTTAAAATTTTTTCAAAATTTACAGTAATAATTTTTCAGTTAATTGATATGTAAAAGTTCTTTTTAAAATTCGGTTTTAAGTCCCGTTTTGGTCGCTTGCTTACTTTTCTCAAATTTACTAAATTTTAAGATTTTCTCAGCTGAAGAAAACAGTAAATTTTTTTTATTTTTTTCACACTACTACGGGTAACTGTAGCTGTTGCTATGTTAAGAAGAAAATTAGTCATTCAATAATAAAGTAGAAAGTATCAGATAAGTTAGTTGTTGTTCAGCATAGTGAAAGCTTCTTTTTTTAACTAAAAAAAATGACTCAAAAAGTGCACTATAAACTACACCTTGAATACAAAATTAAATTTTTTTGTAAACTTATCATTTATCGCTAAAAAGTAACTCTAAGGAAGTGCTGCATTCTTGAAATCTTTCACTTTCTAAAGTATTGCCAAGTTTGTTTATAGTACCTTTGGTAACATTAGTTTTATACAGAATTTATAAACTGATACTGCAATACAACCTAATAGAATGACAAAAACAGAGTAGTTGAAAATACTACTAAACTTATTAAATCGAAATATATGCCAATACACTTTTTGTAACAGAATTAATTTTTACTAATAGAGAAGAGGTTAAATTAATAAATGATTCATAGTGACTTTTCAGCGGTAAGGCAGCGGAAAAATAACAAATAAAATCTTTTGAAAATTGTTTTGTTCTAAAACTTTGATTATTTGTTTTGTTTCTTATCAGGAAAAAAGTGAATATTATTGCAAATGTAAAAAGTTGATGTTCGTTCAGAATTATTTACTGAAAAGTTTCGGTGAGCTGTGTTTTGCGAGCACACGGTAATTTTCTACCGTTTAAAAGACATAATTCTTTAGAGGAACAAACAGTTAGTGCTGTGTAAAAATACCTGACATAAGTCTATCTGTAAAGCTGAAAGTTGGCGTTATCGAAAGATGTTTAGGCAGCTATTTATAAAGTTCATGCAGGACAAAAAATGAACAAGAAATAAAGAATAAAAAAGTGGCGAGTTAAGTTTATTAAGCAGAGTCGTTTTACGTATCGCGAAAGTAAATGTGTTGGATATTCCGGTCGATCTAAGTATCACAGTTTGTTGTAACTTTTGAGACGGTGTATAGAGAGATTGTATAAATTACAGATGTCTTTGTTCCACTTTTTGAAGTAAACTGAAATACGTAATGCTTTTTGATAAATTGTTTGGGATACTCACATGCTATCTGAAGAACTTAAAACGGCTAAAAAAACATTCAATATTGTATAAGTAACCTATAAAAAGATACCCTGTACAATAGGTAATAGAATTTTTTATATAGGCTTATAAAACCAAAGAAGAGAATTTCTAGACAGCTATTTGTAAACTTTTTTTTGAATAATTCCTGAAGAAGCTAACTTTTTCGCACAATTGCAACTTAATTGTATAAATTATTGCTTTACTTTTTCTACTGTCATAATCAGTATACAGTATATTAGTTATTAGCCTGCGGCCTACAGTATAACAATTGTCACAGCATAACGTAATTTTCAGTAAGAATAAAAGTAACAGCAAATAAAGGTATGTGTAAGAGATACTGAAAATTAAAACAAATTTTTTTTTTATTGTCTTGCACTGTACACCTCGTTTACTTTTAGGCAACAAATGGTGGGCTAATTGTTTCTGAAACTAATGGACCGATAAATCAGGTTACCAGAAAAAACGTGATAAAAACCTTTTGGTTTTTTCGGTGTTCAAATTTTATATTTATATATATAAATTTTTTTTTTTTTTTGAAAAATAGTTATGCCGTTTGATGAGAAAATTTAAACTAAAAAGTTTGTAGACTTATTGCAGTGTATTACTTTTTTTTTTTTGAAAATATATTATTACCAAATAGCTTCTTCAGGAATTATTCAAACGCCTCAATAAGGAAAAGAATCCAGGAGAAGAAAAAATATTAAAATCACCCAAGTGTATTGTTGTTACTTCGCGTAAAGATGATAATGTGGTCTATGAAGGAAATAATCAGAAATCTACCGAAAAAACAGAAGTATTTAATTCTTAGTGATAAAGTGGATAAAAAAATTAAAAAACGTTCAAAAAAGGAATTTTTTGACGATTTATTTATTTATTACAATTTAAACAATTCAAACTGCAATAATTGTCGAGTTTCTATATTGAAATATGTTCAAAAAAACTAATTATCATATTCAAATTTAGTCTGACTTTCAGTGGATCTTTAAAAAGTGAATATTCTAAAAGCGATCTTCAATAGTATAACAGTAAAAAACAAAAAAAAAACTAGTATCTAAAACAGCTTTTTTTGCTATTGTAGTTTGTTAAACTTACGTTTATTTATTTAAAGAATCAAGCAGATTTATTTTACTTAATTGATGAAACAAATGAACAGGAAGCGGCTAGAGAATTTGCGTTGAAACTGTTGAAAAAAGTAAAAACAGGTATCTTTTTGGCTTCTACTATAGTTTTGGAAAAAATGCTTGATTTAAACTGAGTATAATTCTAAGAAAACAAAACGAAAACTAGCGAAATAAGTTTTGATATTTTGAAGTCGTTTGCTTGGCAGCTCTCTCCTTGTTTTAAGTCTACAGAGTAAAGAATTCAGAAGGTGACAATGCAGTACTAGCTGTACTGATAGGCCGTGGTTTGAAGTCGCTGGACTATGCCTGCAAAACGGTAGAAACAGAAATACCATTATTGGTAGTGGCGAGCGACTCAGATGGAAGCAGTATCCCAGCTATTATCAAGAAATACCTTGAAAATTCTGATGATTCCAGGTCAAAAAACTTTTTCTGAAATTTCTTAAAAAATAAAAAAAAAAATAGAAAAATAAATGTTATTTTGCTGTCTTGACTCTTCGTTTCTTTTGCCTTCTTCGCTTTTCGTTTCCCTTTTTCTTTCCTTCCTAAAATTTAATCTAAAATTACTTGATTTTCTTGTTTCAAATAAAAACAATAAAACTACTGATTATCGTTTTTTTGTAGTGCAGAGCAAAAGTTTTTCTAAAGTTGATGCTTTAAACCTATTGCAAATTCTTAGTATTGTTCACTTTCAACAAATGTGGTATAAATAGGAAAGTCGTTAAAGGTTTAAAAGTTTAAATCTTCATTGACACGTCTTTTCTTTTTGAACTTCGTCTCAAAACAAATTATTTATGTTAAATGTTTTGGTAACTTTTAGACGCAATTTTTTCATAAACCAATCTCATGTTTTTAGCTCACTTAATTTTTTTTACACATGAATTAATCAAGGCTTTTTTATTTTTGTATATAAAGGTTTATTCAAACTTCCTTTTGTAAGCCGCTAAGAAATTCTTTAAGTTTTGCAATGCATGCAAAGATTGCAAATTGTTGATACAATGTAAAAAATTCTGAACATTTCAGCGTCTTAAACAGTGGTCTAAAAATAACAAAATTTGGATTATTTAGTCGGCAGTTTTAATTGCTGTTTCATAGCTAGTAATGAAAGTTTAGAAAAATGTGAAAACTTTCCGAGGCAGTTTTCTTAGATTTTTGCCAAACTCTGCTGAGTTTTTGAGCAAAATATATGTCACATGTAATAATTTAGAACTAAGCGTTTCTTCATAAACACGGGGTAAATTTCAATTTTTTGAAGGTTATTTTTTCCATCTCTCAAAAAATACTTGAAAGTGCATCTTTTATTTCTGTAGTAAATAATCTGGAAGATTTGGAAAAAAACGACTGCTTAGATTTCAATAATATTTTTTTCACTGTAAATATTTTCTGTAACAAACGCTCAGAGTAATAAATGAAATAGCGTTCCTTATTCTCTGTAATTTTTTTTTATTAATTTGTTACTTTTTCTAAATTTATTTGTAATTTAAGCTACTAATTTATTAAATTTTTTCTATCAAGAACTATCTAGGTAGTGTTGCGACAACTGATTAGCAGTAAACTGTTTAAGATATGCAGTCTGAAAATCAGTTTTGACCTTTTTACTTGTCTTTTTCGTACAGCGTTTAAAGGTAGTTTGTTTGCCTTGGAGTGAAATTAACGGGCGATAGCGATGACGAACAAAGAAGCGTATGAAGAGCTTTTCGGCAGGAAAGATGTAGAAGAAAGACTGTGAATTAAAAGACTGCTAAAATGTGTAAGAACGTCTAAAAATTAATGCCACTTACAGTTTGGAGGAAAGTTTGGAGGAAGATGTGAGAGGATTTCTCAATGAACAAGGAGATGATGAATCGATAACACAGACTGTGATAGAAAAAATAAAAAAAATACTTGATTCTAACAAGGTATCTTTTCAAATTGTGTCAGGGAACTCTTGAAACACACAATTTCCGTTTATGGAAACTGTAATGAAATTTAGTTGTCAGGTCACAGTAATCGGGTCGCTGGATCATGCCGGAATTGTCACTGCGATCTCTGAGCAACCTGATATAGTAAATGAGGTTGAAATTTTTTATAGTCTTTACAAACAAATCGGAGAAAACTAAAATTTTGTTCTTTCAGCAGAGCGTTATGAAAAAATAGCAAACAGCTGTATTCTGTTTTAAATTTTACATCACCCTTTACTTCCTGCTCAAGTTTTGGACCAAGATGACTCTGGTTTACCACAGAAGAATCTATTATGTAGCTGGAATGTTTAAAAAAAGTGGTCTTCAGAAAGACATCTCATTTTTAAAAAATTTTTGCAAGTTTTTGCAAAATTTCTCTTTCTTTAATATAAAAATATCACTTTTGGTAATGTTGAGCTAATGTTTCAAGATTGGAAAAAACATTCTTTGAGTAAAAATTAGTGAGCATTGAAAATAAGCTTCTTAAAAGCACTGTGAAACGTGTCAGAGGTCAAAAAGAAAAATGACTTTAGTTTAAATTTCTCAGTACTGACAATACAAATAATACAAAAAAAAAATTTAAAACATTTTTGCATTTTTGCAAAGTTATATTAAAAAATTTGCCCCGAAACCCACGAAGCCCATAAGAGATGACGTTTTTTCTATCTTTCAGCACAAAGCACTGCTGGAAGGATTTAGTTTGGAGCATCTGCTTCCTAATAGATTAGAAAGACTCAATCTCAATAAGGTATATAAATCCTTAATAAGATGGACCGGTGTAGAAGATGGCA